CACCAGAAGTTTGTGTCAGCCATCCTGTGAGGTTAGTAAGAGCAAAAATCATAAGGAGATTTTAGATGGAGCTTTGCATTATATGAGATAGTTGACAGAGATGATAAAGGGTTACGACTTGAAAACTCAAAAGTGTCCTTTCAATTCTATGCATTTTGAAATGGCTCAACTAATTCATCACTAAGAGAAGCTGAAAAAAGCTCCTTCAAGTACACTGTATTGGAGGAAGGTAAGTCAAATGAATGCCAATGTTAAAACCAGGAAAAAGATACAAATCCACTTCTGCAACTCTTAGAAGCTGAGAATAGTACTCTATAATTTACTAACATCACTATAAACCAGGACACAAAGAACAGTTATGTTCTCAGTAAAGACAAATTGCCAATTAAAACAGAGTAATCTATACTATTAATCTGGAGTGTACCTTGTCCTGTTCCCATAGTCTTTCATGAGTTTAAAGAATTAAGAAAACAAACCAAAAAACTTTGAATGGGGACACAGTTTGCTGTAATCCATGTCATGATAAAACAAGGAAACTCTTAACCAAAATGGATAAAGCCAATAATTATTTGTGTGCATCTATTGCTGAACAATGAGCTCTTGTGCTAGATTTAAGACAAGCATCACACCATCCACTGCCTCCTCTCCTGTATTCTCCAATGCTTGTCACATGATAAACATCTGGTGACCAAAGCGAAACCACAAACTGGATCATTTCCATTTGGACATTACCTTTTGGCTCCAGTTATTTCTGCAGCTGGAGCATTTCCTTCCAGCAGCTCTGTGCTGGTTTGTGAGCAATGCTGGCAAAATGCCACAAATTTATGAGAAACTTTGGAGGGGCTTAGTGTTAACAACTTCTACTTTCAAAGCAGTACAGCTTGAATCAATAACACTAAGCCCCTAAACGTAAACAAGCAGAATGGAAATTTTACAAAGCAAACCCATTTGTGTGTCACCTCAAAGCCAGCACAAGGTCCTCTTTCCAGAAGAGTGAAAATCACAATTAGAATAAGGCAAGAGAGAAATGCAAGATTACTTTGTGATGATTTGCTGCAAAGTTCACTACACTATTTGCTCGATAATGAATTTCATGCATATTATCATGTACTTCAGGCCTCATAACAAAGTGCTATGCTACAAAAAAATTATGATTTCATCACATTGGAACAAAGGTAAAAAACCAGGAAAAACAGCACACTACTCTTTTTCTGCAAGTAAGAATTCATAAAAATAGTCTTTTGCTATAAACTAAATTCACATTTCTAATGCATATTAAATATGGAACCAGAATTCCTTCCCTGGATTTCAAATTCTTAACTTTCATAGTTTTATATTAACTGTAGATTTTTGGTTTTATTTCACTTCCAAACAGCAGATAAAATACAAAATGCATTTTCTGGGGGAGTAACAACCAGAAAGAGGTGAGACCTTTTCAAATGCTATTTGACAAAACACCATGCTCTGTCTAACCACCAATTCTGAAAAGGAAGGAAGGGAGAAATAATGAAAGGTGCTGTTGGAAGAATGGACATGGATTCAGGTATATGAAATATTGCCTAATTCTGTGGTAATATTTTGTTTCCATCAGAAATAGCAAATGGGAGGAGATTACTAGGTAAATTTCCTCTGTAAAAGGAAGAAAGCAGTGTCTGGTATGTTGCACTTATGAAAATCTGAATACTTTTGGCTTGCCATTATTTACAGTGTCTTATCTACATTACTAATAAATGAAACACAACCAGCACCTTCTGATGCCTCTCAAGTCATACTTCCATGTGCTCTCAAGACCAAACTGATTCATGTAAGCATGGCTTCAGGCACACACAGAGAAAGCCTCATGATTTTAAGTACATGTAATGCCTTAGTATGTTGGAAGGCTTTCCAAACAAGACATGCACACACTGACTACAGACACTCCAGAGAGCAGGCAGGGTGGATGGGAGATGAAAAGATCAGAAAGCACAGCAAGCGCATGGCTGCTCTGAGTGTGATTTTAAGAGCCACACACTAACAGCAACTGGTTGAATAGGTACAAGTAGCCTTCTCCTGGCTTTTATAAGTGTATAAAATGTAGTCCCAATTAATAAAAGGATTTATTGGTCAGGACAGGTTACAAGCACACAAAAGCAGATAGCTCGGTTTTGTGGCTCAAATTCCCATGGGATATGAACAGTTACAGTGCTACACAGCTCTTGGTCCCTCTCACAGTTACACTCTGGCTGCTTCTGCTCATACAGCTGCTCTTCTGAAGTCCATGGCTTTGCTTTTGAATTAGCACAAGGAAATGGACATGGAGGCAGAGAACAGCTGCTTTTACAACAGGTCTTAAAAAGAACTTGCTGGGAATTCTTCCAGAACACTGTTCTCAGAACTGAAACTTTTCACGGGAGTTTACCAATTTTAGTCAAACTTTCTGAACGAAAAGTATCTCAAGTGAAAAGCAGGATCTCTGACAAAGGTAAGACAGGCCTGGTCAGCAACCCAAGATACAGGTACTAGGCTGGAATGTCAAAGACAAGTTAAAGTGAATCAGAGACAGCACTTGCAATGTTGTAAATGTAACATTTAGTACAATACCTACATTTTACAGATTGTTACCTATATAGAAGCTGTTTGAGTGCACGAGACTCCTGGATATTGACTCAAATTACAACTGTTGAAACCACAACATCATTCATAAAGAGCTATCTTTCCTAAGAAAGTCACAGATGCAGTGCTGGTTGAATGCACAGCATGCCTAGAAACCTCAGGGAAGATGTAAATAGGAGCTTATCATGAGCGTAGGGAAGCAACAACTGGGAAGTTGCCTAAGGACTGTAAAAGTGTTCCCTCAACACCCATTTGACATTAGTCCAATGAGTCCAGTGAAATTACCCTAACCTTACACAGGGGTCAGAGAAAAATGAAGCTGCTTAAACTGTAAAAACCTACCTTGTACATCTTATGCAAATTAAATTAAAAAACTCCAAGGAAATAGTCCAAAGAACTTTCTCTGCATGTGGCTGTAAGTCATTTAAGTCATTCAGCGAGAAGGGATAATGGCCATTATTTTTCACTTGGCCAGTTCATATTGTGACACAAAGAGAAAGACAGTCTGTCAAGTTTTTGTCTGCAGTGTCTAATTTTTCACCACACTGCTCCTGCCCTCCCTCCATTGTGTCAGGAGTGCATTAGGTGTTGGAAGGGCAACAAGAGACTCAACCAGTGGGTGGAGAGGCTGGAGAAGGGGGGTTGAATTATAGGCAGCCTGCAGACTATGTCTGAAAGGCTGTGCTGTTTCTCTCTGTGGCTGATATGTATCTATGTCCCCACACCATATTACATGGAAGGGATTAGAAATAGGATTTCTGATATTTCAGCTGACATGTCAGAAGATATCATTTCATGCAACTGCCTATGTTGGAATGTAAATTCAAATATTCTACCTTTCAAAGGGATTATATTTATTTTCTGCTGTACTCTTAGACTCAGAACCTTATGCCGCAATGACTGATACTGCAATGAAATGCACTTCAAAGAGCCCAATACACAGGTAATGTTTTGAATCTGTAGGTTTACCTTACTTTCTCCCCAGTGACATAAATTACTACATTAAATGGGAATAAGTGTTACAATTCTGCACATACCACAGTTTGTTTAAGTTTGGAGGTTCTCTTGTAAATAAAAATCAAACAATGTATCAAGTTTGAGTGGTTTTTTTTGTCAAGGCCAGGAATATTTAAGTGCACCATATCAATGTCACCAGCTATAAATAATGCTGCTGCACATGAATCTTAAACAGCTTACTGCAACTAATATAACTTCACAGTATTTACAAGATTAAGCTTTTTAAAGCAAATTACAGGATCATAATATGAAACAAGATGATGCTATGTCCTAGATAGTATTTTACTATACATGGAGCAGTAACACCACAGCAAACATGCCCTTCAGAGTTATCAAGTACATATTGTATGAAGATAGTAAAAGAGCAACAAGTCCTAGGATCATCTGATGTCACCATACAAAATACGTTGTTAAACTCTACATAGCCTTATTGTTTGTCTAAAGGGAAGCATATAATTGGGTATTCCTCCATAGGGATATACATTGAGTACTACAACTATAATGCACAGATATAAGATTTTTTAACTGTTGGCTGTTGAGGCAAGTAGAAATTCCAGAAATACCACAATGCATGGTGTCCTGCCCTTGTGAAAGAGTAAAGGTGGGTTGCTGTGTTGTATGTGTTTCTAGCATTCTTGCCATGGCATTTTCCATGTTGAATTCATGCAGTCCACAGTCTGCACCAGATGAAATTTAGCATGGCTCTGGTGGTTCAGATGAACCATCAGCCTTTATACCAACCTAGGATCTGGTTCACTGTTTTTGAAGTTTGTCCAGCATGAGAAACAAATCTCCCAGTGAAGGCAAGAAATATGACTAAGAATCCAGTTGGTAGTTTAGACCCATAGAAACCCTTCACTGAATAGTGATTAAATATTAACTAGAAAGTTTTGCTTGTTAAAAGTTCTCAGTAGTAAAGAAAAACAAGCTCCCTTTCCCAAAGTCTAAAAACATTTGATTTACAGGAGATTTTTAACTTGGCCATCTAATGACCTTGCACAACAGAACAAATACATTGAAGAGAAGCCCAGTTTGGGCGTGCAATTGTATACCTGTGTATATATGAGAATGTTTTTGTCAGAAGCATAAGCTCCATCTCATTACATTGCACTGTGTATAAATTCTACTTTCACTAACCCATAAATAGATACTGTTTGCAGTAAAGGGACCATCATGCACAGGTTTATATGACATAGAACAAAAGACCTTCGCTCTCTGGAGGACATTCCTGGCACTTCCTCTTCTGTGGCTCCCCAAGCAAAAGCTGTTGCCTTGACAACTCTGGGGCATTCTCTTTCTCCATGTATGCTGGAAGGAGGAAGGCCAATTTTCTTCCACAAAAAAAGGAACTGCTAAATAAATATTAACTGTTCTGATTCCCTCCTGCCAAAATGAGGATGAAAATGAAGAATCTTATTCAGACACAGGGTTTTGCAAGCCAGAAGCAGAAGGACTCAGGACCTGAGGATTCACAGACACAAGTGGGGAACGAAAAAATCGCAGTTACTCGAGACTTCAGCAAAACACTGGGAAAGGCTATGGCTAAGCTCAGGCTAAGCTTCTTCTCTTTGATCACCTTCCTAGAACTGTAACACTGTATTGCCCTGGCTTTGCCATTATGCTGTTTATAAAGAAAGTGATAAAAATAAAACAATAAAAAAACTATCTTAAAAAAAAAAGAGATCCATTTGCAATTTCCACCACTTTTGTCTATAACATTTCACAATGTCAACTTTTTTTTATCTCAAGTGTTGTACCCCATTTTTTCTCTATAAGTGCAACTCTTCTTCAAGTAAGTGTATTTCTCAAGTAAAAAAGAATACACAAGAAAATTGATGGTCAGGAAAGAGATCACAGTAGCTGCACTCCACTAGAAAGAACAGTACACAGAGATGCTGTTTATATGTAACACAGAGGAAAATATAAGCAGGCTGCCTTGAAGCTCTGGTCTTTTCTGTATCCTGTAGCTGAGCTGGGGCCTATTCAGCTATGGAATATTCAGCTGTACAGTGGCTCTGCACCAAAAATCTCACCACATCTATGAGGAAAATCACATTCATTGAAAGTAAAAGCTTTTACATAGGAAGACAAATATGCTGTTGTAATCTTCAAATTCCTCATTACCTTAAGTACGTATCACGGCTTCTGGCATTTCTTTCTTATCAAACCTTCCCCTCCTTCAAGGGTTAGTGAAAACACAAGCTATCTGTATTGCCAGAAGATGTCTAAAGATAACAGGATATATGTGACCTTTACCAAAATGAAATTATTTTGGACAGTATTCATTAGTAATTAGAGCTGGATTTTCAGAGTCAACAGAAGCCAAAAGAACAGGACAAGCTACTCATAATTTCATGCTAACAGTAGAATCTGTAATAAAAAGCAATGCCCTCTGTATTCCAAAGAGACTGCAGTGTATCAATAGACCTGCCAAAAGCACCTAACACCACTGAAGCTCTAGGATGCCTTTTATTTGTTAATTGTCTTTTATTCAAGGAGAGAATAGACAATGGCTACTGCAGTAAAACTTCTTTTGTCAGTTATATTTAACATGCAACCATGCATGGCCAGGCTTCATGATACACCAACCTGCTAGTCAAACTAATAGCATTTCTATTTTAAGTTAAATATAAGGGGATATATGATAAAGAAAACCCCCTCTGTTGACCACTAACATTATTACATAAAAGGTAACTGCTTAGAGAAGATTCCATCTCCTTTTGCTGCAGAAAATGCCTTAGTCTGCTGTTAACCCTTCTCTCATTAGAGTGTAGCCACGTGTACCACTGCTCACAGAAGCATAGAGGGCCTTCTGCATGATTGAGGGCAAGAACTTTGTAATGCACCACCTTTATCTATCATAGTTTAGTCAACAGCAGTAAAACTGGTATGCTTCTACTGACTACTCCCTGGCAATACAGTAAAGATGTGGCCTTTTATACAAAGATAAGCTACACACAAATGATATCCAAGGAAAATATGGTAATATAAAGAACAGGCTCAAACACCAATGAACAGCTCACAGTCAAATCCAAAAGCATTAGGAGATTTCAGGCTGTGTTGGTAGAGCACAAATCCATCTTGGATCAAATTATTCACCCACGTACTGTGGTCAATTGCTTGGCCTGGCAATTAGTTCAACTGTGGAATGCCACTTAGGAGTACATTCACAATCCCTACATATTCTTTACAGCACAAATGGACTTCGGAAAGGAAGAACTGGATATAGGCTACCTGATGCAATCAAAACAGCAATTACTTTCATATAGGTGTTAAAAGCTATGGCTGAAAACAAAACACATAAAAAAATCTCATATCCTACTTCGAATTCTGGGCAATATGAGGCAAGTCATTTTCCCTCTGTGCCTGTTTTGTCATCTTTAAAATAAGGATCACGCTACTACCTTTATGGGACTCACTGCCTATCTTCTGGGCTTGACAGGGTCATGAATTTTCCTCTTATGTATAATGTACATGTGAAACTTGGTTATTTCTATGCACTCTTGTAAGACAATGCTCTCTCATCAAGCCATCTGAATATGGAAAGAACTGCTTCACCAAGAAAAAAGTTATGTTAGCAAAACTCACTTAAGGCCAAACAATATCCAAAAATAGGAAAAAAACCAAATCTGATCTCTAACACATTCTTGAGGAACTCACCCGAGCAGACTGAAGGTAGAAGGTACTGTCACTGGATACGCCTGATCTACAGGAAAATATTTTTTCCATTCTTTTTGAGAAACAGAAAGAAGGAGAATGCTATTTTTAGAATAAGGTTTTGAAATGCTTAAGTTAAAAACAAGATGAAAAGCAAAAGTGTATTTTACCCTCTTTTTCCCTAGCAGTTCTGATTCATCATTGCCTGACACAATTTCTACAACAACTTACAGCAAAATATTGCAATTAGTTTAATCCTATAGGGATGTAAGCTACTTTGTGCATGCGTAAATAAGACTGCTTTATGCTATGCACTAATTTTCAGTCTCTTCCCCAAAACTGTTTAAAGTAATTTTGGTTATAATTAGCAACCTCTCAGAATGTCATTATTCTATGACTGGCAATTTTGCAGTAAAGCCTCCCTTTCTGTCCTGAGTTTTAAACAGAAAAGTCATTTTAGCTAATAATTTCTGATTTTATCTCCCTCTCCCCCACAAAGTTAAAAGCTTGAGTTAACATATGACATATTAAGGGGAAAGGAACATGTCTCCTTCTAGTGTTTTAGAAATGTACTATAACCTAGACTTACACAAATAATCTCTAGAGGCAAAAGTGCAGTTTGGTTTCCACGTTCTGGGCATTACTCCCAAATTCCTCAGAAGGCTCTTAATCATAGCATCAAAGAAAAGGTGATTTTTAACAAGTTTTGTGCTTGGGGCTATAGGATTTGCTCATCTAAACCACAGTGCTGCTTTTCCTTTTGCATCTGCCTGCTTCCACTCAGTGTAAGCAGGTCCTTAGTTACCTTTCAGCTGACTAGTGTCAATGATAATAACAATACATTTTTATTTTTAGAACACTCAAATCTAAAGGGAAGTTAGCACTGTACATGTATGCATGCACACAGAAATGTAAGTAATATCTGAACATTTCCAAAGGGCAACAAGTCCTTTTGGAATAGTAATGAATAGAGAAATCATCTTGTGCCCTGCATGAGATAGGTGCATTTCAAGATTTTCCTGTATAGCTTCCATGAAAATTGGCCCCTAAGCAAGGGTGTGAGTCATTGATGAATACAGCTCTAAGGCTTCACGCTGTGCAGCAAGAGCTGTAAAAGGCATTAGAGGAACACAGGGGAGGAGGAGGAAAGAGAGAGGGGGTTAGGAGGTTATTAAATAAAACCTAGTAATGGTTTTACATGAACATTTTCTGAACAGTGTTTTGAAAACGTACATCCTAACCCACTGGGCACCATTCAGACTGCTGGCTGCAGTGCCCTCTGTTGGCTGATGCTCAAAGGGGATGTGCAGACCCTTCACCACTGACATAAAATTAGCTTTTGTCTATACTTAAAGGGATATGTTGTCACAGCTACCCTAGCAGACTCTTAGTGACAACTCAGGTGGTACTACTAAAATAAATTACCCTATGCTGGTGTGGCTTATAGTAATTTTTCAAATGAATACTGCAGCAAAAGGATGGTTTTTTTCTCCTCTGCACCCATACCCACCACACAAAAGCCCATGCCTGCAGCACTGTACCAGCAGAAGTCACAGCCTTCCCCAGCACAACTATGCCAAAAGGATAGAACAGGCCCAAAGGGATACATTGGTGACAAATTTAAACTTGCTCAAACTTCAAAGGTATTTAATTTTTGGCTTTCATTTGTCTTTTTTTCCCCCTAAAACCATTGCATTAAAACTGTCACCAGTTTATATCATTCACTGGTTAGCAACAGACTATATGTAACTCAGATCAGACCTGGATTATGAGCAATGTTGCTTGTTATGCAACTGTGTTTCTCCTATCTAAGTAAGTCAAAAGATCCAGGTTTTAATAAAGACATCTGTCAAATATAAGTCATTATCATGCCAGATTCTCCATCCTTCAACCTCCTTATGTGTTCTGATCTCATACTCACTTGTGCAGTCCCCTCAATCTCTTCTCATTTTTGCTTCTTCCATTGTGTCAGCAGTCCTAGTGTACCCATCTGAAAAAGAAGACACGATGTGCCCCATTACATCCCATTATCAAACACCCCGTGACTTACAGAGAAAAGGTTCACATGTGAAATTTATTATAAATAGTGATTAAATGAGACTAACAGGCTATATTGGTGTAGTTATAAATAATCCAATACCCTTTAAATGAGTAATTTATTTTTTTTTTTCAGTAGATAGCTTAGATGTATTTTCCTGCATTTTAGATAAGAAAAATATCACTTGCTAGAATGCAAATCATAATCTTCATTTTCACATAGATAACCATTTAAAGAGCATGGGCAGAAAAAAAAAAAGAAGCCAAACAAAAATAAAAGAAAATATTTTTTAACAAGCACAAGAGGAGCTATAAGCCTTTTAAAGGCCAGAAACAATGGTCATACATTTGTGTCATTCGAACAAATAGGCACAGTGGTCTACATAATTGAAAATTCAATCAAAAAATAATGCTAATAGAGGAAAATAGTTGGTCATGTTACAATTACTTTTGTTTAACTGCTTTAAAAATAACACAGATTTTTAGAAAAGACCCTTCTGTGTATATATATTTTTAAGAATAGGAATTACAATTCATCTTTAACTGAGGAGTTGATAACTGCTGCTGTTTAAAAAAACCCAACACAACACACATGAAAAAAAACAACCACACAAAACCCATTTGGAATACACAGACATGCAGCACCATCTGCTGGATTAGCACCTCTGACAGACATTTATGCACTTGCAGAGTATTTTAACACAAGAAGGAAAGGGGAAAAGCCATAGAAACCACAGTGAATCATGGAGATGTGTTTAGTCAGGATCAGGAAAGAGTAGTCCAGGGATGTGGAATTTCCATGAAAATTGTGAAATAATGCTCTCTATCCACATAATACTTTATACTTTTCAGGCACTATGTATAAATACTATAGTCATGAGCAGACCACTTATGATTACGAAAATTCAGAAACTGGGTGTGCGTTTTAAGTAACTGCATCAAGACTGATTTACTTTAGGTTCTTGCACGCATGCATGATGGCACATGATTATAGTAACTATTTTTTCACGGGGTGACCATCTTGCTTCATGGCTAGGACTGACAAACAACTATGGAATAATTTGCTGTCTTCTTCTCTGGCTTTATGTAGGCTTGTGTGTTTAACACTCAAGTTCTGCTTGGGCACCACCAGATTGTCAGGATCTCATTGCTGCAATGCCACATTGCATTACAGATGTCAATTTAAAAACCCTGCAAGGTGAGCTGCATTGATTTTTCACACAGTGAGCAAAAGGATGTTCTCATTTTGGGCAGGGAAGGAAGAGGCCCCTAGATATTTACACAGTGTTGTGCCATTGTAGTCTCTGCTGTCTTTCTAGTAGCTTGTAGTGTCTTTGGAATTCACCCTTTCAATTCAGTCAGGCCACCTAGCTGCACTCTGCAGTGCCTGGCCCTTGTCACGTTCCCCTCCGGCGGGTCAAAAAGCCCAGTCCTTAGCAGGCAGCCCTTTCACCTGCCACCTCCCAGCCAGCTGGAGCTTCCGCCCTGCTCTTGCACCAGTGTGTCACCTCTGCCCCGATCCCTTTTGTGCTCATCCCCATTTCGGATACAGTGCTGAGAGCTCCTAAGAATTCATTTTGAAAAGCCAGCTGTCTACACACGCTGATCTTCTACAAGTCTCCTCCACGTATACTAGAATCAAGAACACAGATATCTTAAGAAACTTGATTTTTCTGCCTATAGAAATTTCCCTTTTTCCTAATGACCATCCAGCTCAGCTTTTATCCTCCTGCCCATCCTTGTCTTGCCCACACTGGTAACGTAGGTCAAGTCATTCCACACCCCTCTGGAAGGTACTAACCACACTCTGCACGTCACTCTCAGCATCAGGAGGACATCATCACGGACCTGCAGGCTGTAAGGGCCTATTGCAAGGACATCACAACAGGATTCTGGCCATCACAACCCCATACATGCCAGAGGGAAACAGGAAGGCTATGGCACTGGTGTTTATGGCCACCTGGATGCACTCAGGAAACCCACCTGTTGGGTTGCTGGGAGGGAACACCTGTTCAGAAACAGGACACGAACCGTGTACCCTCCAAGAAATCTATTCGGTGTTCTCAGCAGCCGGGGAGCTGCCCGTGCCAGCAGTGACCAGGCCGGGGCCCCGGCGGGGAGGCCACGGAGCAGGGCCCTGAGGCGCT